TTCTTGTATTTCTCTGTTTAGTTTTTGTCTGGATGACCTGTCCATTGGTGAGAGTTGATTATTGAAGTCTCCAACTATCAATGTATGAGGGTTGATGTGTGGTTTAAGCTTTAGTAATATTTCTTTTACAAACATAGGTAACCTTGTTTGGGGGGGGGATAGATGTTAAGAATTGAAACATTATCTGGTGGATTTTTTTTCTTTGATGAGTACAAAGTGCCCTTCCCTATCTCTTTTGATTAATTTTGGTTTGAATTAAATTTTGTTAGATATTAGAATGGCTACACCAGCTTCTTCTTGGTCCATTTCCTTGGAAAATCTTTTCCAACCCTTTACTCTAAGGTAACATCTAGCTTTGATATTGAGGTGTGTTTCTTGTATGCAGCAGAAGGTTAGAATCTTTGCATCTTTCTGTTTGTCTGTGTCTTTTTATTGGGGAATTGAATCCATTGGTATTGAGAGATACAATGACCAATGATTGCTAATTTCTGTTATTTTGTTGTTGTTGTTGTTGGTGGTGGTGGTGGTGGTGGTGGTGGTAGTGGTGGTGGTGGTGGTGGTGGTGTAGATGGTGATGGTGATGGTGATGGTGATGGTGATGGTGTGTGTGTGTGTGTGTGTGTGTGTGTGTGTGTGTGTGTGTGTGTGGTGTGTTCGCTTCCCTTCTTTTGGTTTTGCTAGTGTAAAATTATTTATTTCCTATGTTTTCATTAGTGTAGTTAACCTCCATAGGTTGGAGTTTTCCTTCTAGTACCTTTTGCAGGGTTAGATTTGTTGATAGATATTGTTTAAATTTGACTTTATTGTAGAATATCTTGTTTCCTCCATCCATGGTGATTGAAAGTTTTGCTGGGTATAGTGGTCTTGGTTGGCATCTGTCGTCTCTTAGAATCTGAAAGACATCTGTCCAGGCCCTTCTGGCTTTTATAGTCTCCATTGAGAAGTCAGGTGTAATGCTAATAGGTCTGCCTCTATATGTTAATTGTCCTTTTCCCTTGTTCTGTATGTTTGGAGTTTTGATTGTTATGTGGCAAAAAGACTTTCTGTTCTAGTCCAACCTATACAGTATTCTATAAGCTTCTTGTATCTTTATAGGCATGTCCTTCTGTAGGTTAGGAAATTTTTCTTCTATGATTTTGTTGAAAATATTTTATGGGCCTTTGATTTGGGATTCTACTCCTTCTTCTATTCTTATTATTCTTGGGTCTGATCTTTTCATACTGTCTTAGGTTTTCTGGATGTTTTATGTCAGGAATTTTTTTAGCTCTAACATTTTCTTTGACTGATGCATCTATTTCTTCTATTGTATCTTCAATACCTTAGATTCTCTCTTCCATCTCTTGTATTCTGTTGGTGATACTAGTGTCTGTAGTTCCTGGTCATGTACCTATATTCTTCCTTTCCAGAGTTCCCTCAGTTTGTGTTTTCTTTGTTGCTTCTATTTCCATTTTCACGTCTTGTACTGTTTTATCCATTTCCTTCAATGGTTTCTTTTTCTTGCCTTTCTTTGTCCTCTTTCAGGGCCCCTATGCTCTTCATAAAGCTGGTTTTGAGGTCTTTTTCTTGTGATTCAGCTGTGTTGGAAAATTCAGGACTTGCTGTGGTAGGATAGTTGGGCCTTGGTGGTGACATATTGCCTTGGCTGTTGGTTGTTTTTTTTTTTTTTCTCTTGAAATACAGAATTTTATTTAAAAACTGCTTAAAGTAGAAAAAACCCTGTCAAGAAAGACCAGGTGAAAAAATGGGTTCCCAATAAAATGGAATTTGGGGGCAACAGAAGTCTAAAAGGCCACAAAGGAGAAATAGCACCACTGTTGTTTGAACAATGGCTAGTTACTTGCATTTTTTTGGCATTGTTAATCACTAAATCTGGATTTTCCTCTGAATTCCACACACAGCATGCACTACACAACAATCTGTCATAAAATACCTGTTTTCTACACACAGCCTAAGACAAGCTACCACCAGAAACAAATCAATACAAACACATCAGGGGCTGAACAATCTCAGTAGTGGGTAACATACATTTTGCAGAATACTCACAGCCTATTCAGTTTCTTTGTTTGGCAGAATTCTGTTGGTTGTTTTTATGCTGGCATCTAGGCATCTGGGTTCACGGTGATTATAGATATAGGAACTGATTTCTGAGTTTGTCTTTGTTGAATAGATGTTTTGTTCCTTAGTTTCTGCTTCCTCCCTGGTCTTATGGCCAGAGTGACCTTTGGTTGAACAGAAGGATACCACCCATGTCAGAGGCTGGATTTCTGAATGCTGGGGTGGTTTCTGGTTAAGCAGGGGTTCTCGGCCTGAGTTGAGATTTGGAACACAATGAGGAGGAGGGGTGGGAGGATTGGGAATAGGTAGAGAGGGAACCACCAGAGTGAGCAGAGTTCTGGCAGATTACATGGCCTGTGGTCAAGCAGGGTGCTTCTACCTAAGAAGGGGGCTGGAACAAGTGGGGAGGAGAAGAGAGGCAGTTGAGGGGAGCTGGGCAGGCATTGAGACAGTGGAGAAAGTCTGTGTGTGGGCTGCCTACTGGGAGTTCTGGTGGCTGGTGTGGCCTTTGGTTGAACAGAGGGTCTTCACAGGAGCTGGGGGATGAGATACCATGACAAGGAGGGGAAGGACACTGAAAGAGTAGGGGTGGTTCATGGGCAGGCAGCCTACCTGGAGTGCTGGCAGCCAGCACGGCCACTGGTTGAGCAGGGTGCTTCTGCTGGAGTTGTAAGCTGGCATATGGTGACAAGGAGGGGCAGTGTGGTTGGGGGTGGGCTGCATGGGCACTGAGAGGGTGGGGAAGGTCCATGGGCAGGTAGCCTATCTGGATTTCAGGTGACCAGCATGGCCTCTGGTGGAGCAGGGAGCTCCGGCCAGAGTTGTGGACTGGGATCATCATCTTCTTCTCCTCCTTCTCCTTCTCCTTCTCCTTCTCCTTCTCCTTCTCCTTCTCCTTCTCCTTCTCCTTCTCCTTCTCCTTCTCCTTCTCCTTCTCCTTCTCCTTCT